AAGGAAAATGGCGCTAGCATCATGTGTGACATGCATAGAGAGAGAGAATTGAAATGGCCGATCAACATCGTTTACTACGACGCGCGCCACCAGCCGTAGCGTGAGAGGACGCACACACTCAGTTCGGCCGAACGCAAGCCATAACCAAGGCGCGCATCCCCTCCTCGCCCCGAGGCATCCCCCTTGGCGGTGACTGGCAGGTTTATCAAGAAACGCGGTTCCTTTGTCACGATGCGGGCCTCTCCCTCACATAAACAAACGCGTGCCGGCTCTCTCAAGTTCTGCGAATCTCCGTAAAAACAAAGGAAAGCCTACTAACCAAGGGAATATCAATCATGCAATCTTAAGTGAGCTGTCTTGCTCTATCTTAAGGCAAGACACCAATCTTTTGTCTTTAGAAATTGTAAGCAAACGTGACTTAACGATAACAACACTTCACGTAATNTTAAGAATATATAAGTTGATACAAAAAAGTGCATTACCTAAAACCCAATACATTGATAAACAACAATGGTTCGTAATTTTTACATAAAAAAACGTACATAAATTTTAAACAGCGTCAAAAAAATGTAACGTTTGTAGTAATAATCCATGCTTAAAAAAAAAGTTCTTATGAGTAAGTGTGTATACCTGGCTATAACAGGTGCCACTATAAGGGATTGTACGAGCGCACATGAAGGTAAGTTTGCAATGCTACAGTAACGAAAACTCTTTTATATAGACAGCAAGGCGTGGCTGATTAGATGTGTAATATTAGATATTTGCAAAGGGTAGCAAATCAATATCAATACAACCATTATTTTTACAACAAAATAAAAACAAGTGAGAAAAAAATTAATAATTTATTTCTTTATTATATTAATGTTTAATAAAATTTCAAAATTATTGAATAAAAATGAAGTACTGAACTTAAAAAAAAAATGCATTGAACCAAAGTTTAAGAGTAATTTTTGTCAAGACACTATTCATTAAAAGGCGAAAAAACGGTATGCAGTTTATGATACAAAATGTAAATAAAAACTGCCAGTATAGTTACGTCAGTCTTACTAGTAGAGTACGAAAGTGAGAATTGATAAACATAAACATTTTATCAACAAATGTGAAAATTTTACACACAGCGATTGCTAAAGTTGTGAATTTATAAGGGAAAATAAGTCCACTTTGTTTTAAAATTACTTATAAACAGGTCACTGTTAAATTTTTCTAAGAATAACATCAAAATCCAAGATGAAGAAAAATAAATAATACAAACGCTTAACTCCAAATATAGCCCATTTAATCAAATTTATCATATTAAGTATAAAAATTTATAGGCAAAATATGACTTATATTTTTAAGATCAAGTACCAAGCTTAAGTATCAGTTCAGTTGTTAAAATCACTACCTAATGATGATTTATTCTAACTACACATTTGTTCAGACAAAGTTTACAAAAAATTTTCGAGGTTTTAACTCAGTGATAAAAAATCCTAATTTTATGATGCATTTGAAAATACTTGCATGTATACTTAGTTAAAATGTTATAGGACTCACCTGAATAGCTCGCATATGCTCCTCAAGTCGCTGATTACGCTGATGAGCCCATATTGTCACTTCTTCCCAACGTGACTGGATAATACTTATCCACTGATTGATAGCAGTAGTTCCATCAGGGTGTGCTTTAGCTAAAATTTTGGTGGCAAACTCAAGAATTAAATTTTTGTCAGTTTCTTTCAGTTCTAGTTCTTTTTGGAAACTATCATGTTCTGAAAGTTGATTTCGACTTCCATGTTCATCTTCAGGCAATTGATTAGCAAAACGTAACCTTATCTCAGCATCATTCAGCCATTCAAGAAGTATATGAACTTCTGTACTTAGACGTTCAGCATCAGCCAATGCTTTTTCCAGTTCTGCTGTTTTTTCCGTAGAAAGCCGCGTTACACTTTTCCAAAGAGCTTGAAGATGAGAAAGTCGTTGGTTAATTGCACAAGCATCTTCTTGGCAGGCTTTGCCTTCAATTTCACGACCTATACTTGTAACTGATTCCAACTGCAGAGCTCGTGACTCACGGTCACGTTCAAATTCATGATGCTTTTCAAATAGATTTGTTACTGTATCAAAATCCCCATAAAGTGGACCTACAACTAATAATTGTTGTTCAGATTTTTCTAGCCAGTCTAGTAAGACCTGAACTGCTTCTTTGAACTGCCCTGAATACAGTAAAGCTTCTTCAAGTTTACGCTGGCGGTCAACACTTTTGACACATACACTTGTCCATCGAGCCTTAAGCTCGCTTAAAAGCTCACGAAGTACAGGTTCATCTGCTTTAGGAGATCGTTCCTTAAGGGCACGGCCAACTTTTGTAGTTGTATCATAAAATAGCTGCTTAGCTGTAATTTCTCGTTGAATATCTCGATGGCACTGTAACCAAGTTCTAATTATATCAGGTTCATTAGCCCTTAATCCTTCAGTCAAAGCCTTGTCAAGGGTAGCTTCGGTCTCCTTTAGCCAGATAATCAGGGTAGACCAAGATTCATTGAATTCCCGTGCCTCTTTGAAACCATGGTCAAGGGCACGTGTTCGCTCAGCTGATTTAGAAACAACGCGCTCCCATCGATGCTGTACGCTGACAAGTAAGTTTTTTATAAGAATGACATCTTGTTTCTGGCTAAAGTATTTAAGATGAGTACCCTTCTTATCAAGATTTAACATGCTTTCACGATGAAGGCTGATATCTTTTTGAAATGACTTATGGTCATCAACCTGAGCAAGAATAGTTTTCATTACTCTTGAAACTGGCTTCAAGGACGCCAGTAAATTTTCAGCTTCACTTAACCAGGTAACAAAAGACTGAAGAGCTTCATGAAATTCACTAGCTTCCTTAAGCGCAATTTCAAGCTTGATTTTTTTATCACCTGCGCGAGCAATGACACTATCCCAGCGTTGTTTAAGAGTACGTAAAGTCTGGCTCAGAGTAGCTCCTGCTGAGTTTGATCCTAAAGAACGACGCTGATACTCCTGGCCTTGCTGTAAAGTGGCCTCAACTTTGGCACGGTTTTGTTCAAGGTCATTGTATGATTCCATAAAGCGTTCTAATTGTTCTGCGGCCGTTTCTGGAAGACCACCAACAGGTTTTGAAGCGACAATCGCCTGATCGACCTCAGCTAACCAAGATAGCAAATCCTGTGTTTCTGCGCCAAAATTTTGGGCTTCTTGTAGTGCATCCTCCAGTTCACGCTGTTTATCACTAGCTAGCTGTAGAAGCTCACTCCAGCGACAGTTTAACGTACCAAGTTTGTCAGCAGTACTGGAAGCTTCTACACTTCCACGATTCTCCTCAATGAGTTGTCGACCAGCATCATTTAATGTGTCTGCAGAGGTTTGATGTGCCTGAATATCGTTAACAATAACTTTTAATTTTGCAAGTTCTAATTCGATAATTTGTGCTTCACCAATGACAGCCTTTAATGATTCAAGGCTATCTTTACTTTTGTTAATCCAAACTAAAAGTTCATTTAGAGCATGCTGAAACTGTCCTAGCCGTAAAAGAGCTTTCTCTAAAATTTGTTGCTGCTCAACAAGACCACGCAGTAAAGCTTCCCAACGTCGATTTACATGAGTTAAAGGTTCCTTTATTGCCTGTGCTTGCTCTAAAGAAGTCCTTTCAGTCAACTCACTAGCTTGCCTACATAAAAATGAAAATAATACACAAATTATTAGTGATGTTAAGCTGTCTACATACATAAATGTACAAGTCATTTGTTATAATACTTGTATCAGTATATACTGAATCAATGCATACTACTATTAGTATTTTATCTCATTACATAAGACGATTTCAGTTACCGTTATATAGTACCATAAGTAATAAAAAAATAAAATTATGCATAATTTAATGTGACATTCAAGTCATGTGTAGACACACCAAGTCGAGTAATACAGCATAGTAGTCCCATGATACGAGGCACCATGAATTTTTTATTAAGTTGTGATATCCATTTTAATAATTTTAAAAAATGTTAGAATGCAACTTAATAGAATAATTATTTAAAAAATTACATCATATTAACTAACAATACGTAAGATTGCAAAAAAATAAACGATAAGTAGAACTTTCACGAAAAAATAACGCAGATATGAGGAACGTCATCATTAGTGTATGGAAACTATGGCAGAGGTTTTTTACATGTCAACGTTGATTTTCTTGAAAAACAAGTTGGCCGTCACATTAAGCTCATACACTTACAGTAGTTGTAGAGGTTATGTGTACGTATTTTCTTAAATTATATAATTGCGTATGAAGCACTCTATAAGACCCCCTACAGACCTCCACAGCACCCTACTGACCCTGTACAATTTTTCTTAATCACTATTACTCCTATGGCAGTTTTGTAAAGATTTACTCACACCCTCATACAAATATATGTATCCAAATTATTTTGGTGTAAAATTTGTTTTATTATTAAACAACATTAATACAAATCTGCCCTACCACAATACAATTAGAATTTATTACAATAAATTTATTTACGAATTCTTCAAATATATTAGGGCATACATTTATGTATATATGATTAAATTACTTGCTTGTGACCGTTATGCAAATTACATGACGAAAGTATGCAAAAATCGTTCAAGTGATAACAAGAAAAAAGCTATTTTTAAATAAGTTTGTTCGTTTATGTTAGCAGTATGGGATTAGGCAGGTAACTTGGCGAATAAAACACACACGAAATATGGAATTGAACTTAAATACGTTTATTTACGCTATCTTAAGGTTGGACTATCTTTAGACTTTACTATCTTGAATACAAATAATTAAGCGAACAGAAAAGTAAGCTAACACGTAAAGAGAAATGCGAAGGCAGAGAATGCGTGTATGAACAGACTGGCTGACTGCGCGAGAGTGAACAAAAACCGAAGTTACTTGACGTTGAAGTGCAGCGTCACAGCGTCTCGTCTTCTTGCTGTTGCGCATGCGTAATAATTCAGTTACGAGCGCCAACAATACATCTAACAGTTTAAAATTAATTTTTTTTTTGCTTGTTCAGTTTGTATTATTAGTTATTGAGATACTTAACCACTTTCCATTGACCTTAAGTATGTTAGAATATTAACTTTTAAATACTTAATTTCATTTTTTTTTCTCCCCACTGGCACACGACAAATAGATTAATTTTATTCATACAATACTAACATAAATCCGAACGACGAACAGTTATGCAATAATGTTAATCGTGGAAGTATCACCCTAATAAAAAATTATGAAATAACTTTCAGAGCAAATCCAATAATTTAATTATTATTTATTGTTTTGATAGATGTAGAAATGCTTATAAAAGTTTTGTAACAGTTTATATTCGAAGAGGAGTATAATAAAATTAAAATAGTCTTGTCTTCTAAAGGTTAAAAATTAAAATCATGCATATAAAGCTTTATAGAAGTTCTTATAATGTTCTCAATTCCTAAGAAGTAGAGATTTCTTTAAGAAAAAGAGAATTTTCCATACAAGGCACATCACTAAATGTGAGAGAATGTCTAACGGCAGTGCATTATTAAACATTACATTATTATATTTACAAACCAGTCAAATCAAAACATGCTCGTTATACCATCACAAAAAAACGTTAGGATCTGAAACTGGATCACCCGAAAAAGCAAAAAATGACACATAATTGTAAGGGTAGACGGGATAAGGGTGGGGCTCTATTAGTATGCATATACACATATACTAGTGGGATGCTGCCCCATAGCACGCTTCGCATGCCAACTTTTTATAAATGAATAATAATCTTTCACACACGTTTCGAGGTAGAAAGTATAAGGTTTAAAATGAAAAGAAATTTTTTTTTTTTTTTTGGAAAACACAACTTAACACTATGACTTATTCAAATTGTATAAGTTATTATAATAATTACATAAAAAATNCATGCTGAAACTGTCCTAGCCGTAAAAGAGCTTTCTCTAAAATTTGTTGCTGCTCAACAAGACCACGCAGTAAAGCTTCCCAACGTCGATTTACATGAGTTAAAGGTTCCTTTATTGCCTGTGCTTGCTCTAAAGAAGTCCTTTCAGTCAACTCACTAGCTTGCCTACATAAAAATGAAAATAATACACAAATTATTAGTGATGTTAAGCTGTCTACATACATAAATGTACAAGTCATTTGTTATAATACTTGTATCAGTATATACTGAATCAATGCATACTACTATTAGTATTTTATCTCATTACATAAGACGATTTCAGTTACCGTTATATAGTACCATAAGTAATAAAAAAATAAAATTATGCATAATTTAATGTGACATTCAAGTCATGTGTAGACACACCAAGTCGAGTAATACAGCATAGTAGTCCCATGATACGAGGCACCATGAATTTTTTATTAAGTTGTGATATCCATTTTAATAATTTTAAAAAATGTTAGAATGCAACTTAATAGAATAATTATTTAAAAAATTACATCATATTAACTAACAATACGTAAGATTGCAAAAAAATAAACGATAAGTAGAACTTTCACGAAAAAATAACGCAGATATGAGGAACGTCATCATTAGTGTATGGAAACTATGGCAGAGGTTTTTTACATGTCAACGTTGATTTTCTTGAAAAACAAGTTGGCCGTCACATTAAGCTCATACACTTACAGTAGTTGTAGAGGTTATGTGTACGTATTTTCTTAAATTATATAATTGCGTATGAAGCACTCTATAAGACCCCCTACAGACCTCCACAGCACCCTACTGACCCTGTACAATTTTTCTTAATCACTATTACTCCTATGGCAGTTTTGTAAAGATTTACTCACACCCTCATACAAATATATGTATCCAAATTATTTTGGTGTAAAATTTGTTTTATTATTAAACAACATTAATACAAATCTGCCCTACCACAATACAATTAGAATTTATTACAATAAATTTATTTACGAATTCTTCAAATATATTAGGGCATACATTTATGTATATATGATTAAATTACTTGCTTGTGACCGTTATGCAAATTACATGACGAAAGTATGCAAAAATCGTTCAAGTGATAACAAGAAAAAAGCTATTTTTAAATAAGTTTGTTCGTTTATGTTAGCAGTATGGGATTAGGCAGGTAACTTGGCGAATAAAACACACACGAAATATGGAATTGAACTTAAATACGTTTATTTACGCTATCTTAAGGTTGGACTATCTTTAGACTTTACTATCTTGAATACAAATAATTAAGCGAACAGAAAAGTAGGCTAACACGTAAAGAGCAATGCGAAGGCAGAGAATGCGTGTATGAACAGACTGGCTGACTGCGCGAGAGTGAACAAAAACCGAAGTTACTTGACGTTGAAGTGCAGCGTCACAGCGTCTCGTCTTCTTGCTCCTAATGATGATTTATTCTAACTACACATTTGTTCAGACAAAGTTTACAAAAAATTTTCGAGGTTTTAACTCAGTGATAAAAAATCNAATTATTATCTTTTAAATTCACTTAAATATTTTTGTATTATAATAGGTACACATTAACATTGGACCTGCGGTTCTTAATAGTTCAAACTGTATTCTGAAAGAAGTAAGAAATTAATGTACCTAACATTACTATAATTGTAAATAACACAGAACCACAAAAAAAAATAACGCACAACGACGCCATATTGTGTACTATGTGTTTTTGGGATCACTGAACATGAATTCAATGTCAAAATTGCTCCATCACGTCACATTTTTTTTCTAACCTAAAACATAAGTATAAATCAATGGATGTGAAATACACTATTTTGTAAACGTATATAATGTGGATCTCAGAAATAAACGACACCGTGTAAGATTTCCTGTAGTTTTGTACGTTCTCGTCTCAATATTATATGGTTTTATAAGTTTACATTCCTCACCTTAAAAAAACAACAAAATAGCCATTTATCAGTCTAACGAAAATTTAACTAACCCATAACCTTTCTCATAAAGGACAAGTCAAAATGATTGATTTTTCGTTTTTAAACTACATTTTGTTAAATATCTAACCTGAAAAATACACAATTTTACAGTTTTGCAGTCAATTTTTTTGTTCGATCAATTCATAATTGTCATATTATATGTTTATCTGATTGCTCATTCAGATTTCTAAGTATAACGATTTCATTCGCTCTAAGACCTATATCTATGCTCAACCTTTAAGAGAATTCAACAGTTTGTGGGCTGGTATTTAAATAAAATTGAAAATGTCATAAATTTTAGAAGGAGGAAAATTTTTTTTCATTCTTACAAATACAATATTAAATAGAAAGCTTTTGTGATTTTTTTTTATGGTGGTGAAAATTGGTATGGATGGTGGCGAAAGTTTCAATAGCAGAGGCGATAGAAGGATCATTGGGAGGAAGAAGCCTTTCGAAGCTATCTGGCAAGGATTTAGGCTTGTAACAGGGTGTGAAAGCCCTTTACACCAGATCTTGGTACTTGCCATGCTTTCTTCAAAAAAGACTTGTTCCTCTTTCTTTCTCAAAATCTCCCTTGCCTCAGCGATCGGATCTGTGGCTGAAACTTTTCCTGCATAGAGCTCTTTGAGCCACTGAATAAGAGTTTTTTCAGAATTTTGCCGTCTTTGAATACGCTCAGCCTATTTCCATCCGATCTAATAGGAGATGAATAGTAGGCCAATCGCCTTAAAGCTGTCGTCAGGTTTCAAATACTATGG